GAGCACGCCGGGAGGGGAGTGATGAGGTGGGGAAGGGGGAGGGGTGGGCATGCCGAGCCGTCACGGCTTAAATAGGCCAGCGCCCACGAGGGAAGACCACAGCGAGCATCATGCCGACGACGTGCAGGGCGTGCTGCGGCCCGGGCGGGCGAGGCTGGCAGGCGGGCGAGCACCCGAACCAAAGGGCCTTCCGCTACCTTCCTCCTTCTTCTTCCCACCCTTCTTCTTGGCCTTCTTCTGCTTGTCGTGTCCGTCGGACGCGACGGACTTGGCGTCGTCGTCGCCTTCCATGGCCGCGGCGCTGCGCTCCCGCGTCTAGGCCAGGTCAGAGCCCCGAGGCGACAGGCGGCACACGGACCCCGCCCGGGGGGGACGCCGACGACGGCGGTGGCGGCGGCGGGGAGGAGGAAGTCGTCAACGAGGACAGCGCCGGTGGCGAGCGCGAGGGATCGAGGGGGCGCTGTGTCGCGTGGTGCGGGCGCAAAGGACAGACTGCGGCGGGGGCCAACGGGGCACGGGGCCCAGGCCCAAGCGCACTCGACTGGTGGGGGCCCGCAGCAGGCCTGCCGGGGGGCCGGGCTCGAGGCGTCCCGGTGATAGGGTCAGTACCGGCGGGGAGGGGGCGGGGGCAGCAGCGCCAGCAGCAGCGGCAGGCCTAGGTGTGATCTTTCGCAAGCGATCGGCATCTGATGAGCCCAGGGAGGGGGAGAGTTTGGGGGTAAGGGGGGCGTGGACAAGAGGAGGGAGATTGTCGTGAAAGGGGAGAGGATGGGGGTGCAGTGCCGTTGGCGCTGCGCTGCGGGCCAGGCGGTGGCGCGAGGCATCGCGAGGGCAGACGACGAGCAGGAGGAGCATCACGACGATCGGCAGGGGGAAGGGGAGGGTGGGGCGGGCGCGCCGCCGCGACCCGCCGCACACGCCTGGAGCGCGGTGGGGGTCCGGGGGCCGGGGCCGGGGCACGGGCGAGGCGCCCCGTGTGTGACTCACCCTGGACGGTGAGCTCGGCGCTGCAGGAGATCTTGCCGGACGTGGTCTGGGCCACGCAGGTGTACAGGCCGGCGTCCTCGGGCTTCACGTGCTGGAAGACGAGCGCCAGCGAGTCATCCTCGTCCTGTGGCAAACGGGAGGGGGTCAGTGCGGTCGACGGAGTGGGTGTTCAGCACAGAGGAGGTACGATGCACTTGCATGGTGAGATCCGTGCGACTCATGCATCGGTGGAGCAGCGTCAATACTCCACGCTCAAGATTGTGAGGTATACATTTCCAAAGGCTCGTGTAGAACCAATTACAAATATCCAAGGTTTATGGTAATTATTAAATTATTGTGCAGGTGAGTTGGGTTTTATTGACGCTTGTCTAAAAGCACAAAACTGGGACGCAGACATTTTCAAGTGTCAATCAATTCGGAAAAATTACCCAAACACAAACAGTGTGTCTATAGTACTAAGCATATCTTGAACATGTACGCAGGATCTTTGTGTTATCAATGCTGTAAATGTAGTAAATGAATGCTGTTAACTTAGGGTATACTAAGAAAATAGCTACCCTGGAGGCTACGAACAGGCAAGATTGGTGCAGGCTATTTACAGGGTGTGTTTATGAAATTTCGTGCAAAATATAAGGAGTGTTTGATTTGGTTGCAAGGTAGTTGGACACATTCACATTCGACAAAAGTTTCGAGCGTGCGCTTCAAGTCTTCCACAAACAAACAACGCTAACCTCCTTTCGCTTTTTATTTGATGTGGAGGTTTTTTTCTTCTGATCCTTTTCAGGTTTCTTTTGCATTACTTTTGCGTCGTCTTTCTTTACATCAGCCTTAAGCTGCTGTTCCCTTAACAACTCTTGTTCCTTCTGCTGCCGCTCTTCCTCCTCGCGCCGAGACTCTTCTTCACGCTTCGCCTGGATCTCCATTTCTTTTTCAATTCGGCGCTGCCTTTCAATTTCAATCGCCTCATCTCTCTGTCTCTCGATTTCTTTCTGCCTTTCCACTTCCTTTTGTCTTTCATTCTCCCTTTGCTTTTCGATTTCCCTCTGCCTATCAACCTCTCTTTGTCTCTCAGTTTCCTTACGCCTCTCTAACTCCTGTCTTTCTATTTCTTTCTGCCTATCTACCTCCAGCTGTCTTTCTATTTCCTTTAGTCGTTCTAGCTCCTTTAGTCTCTCTATTTCTTGCTGCCTCTCAATCTCCTTTTGCCTCTCCATTTCTTTCAGGCGCTCTACCTCTCTCTGCTTTTCCGCCTCCCTTTGTCTCTCTATTTCCTTCTGCTTTTCCACCTCCTTAAGTCTTACTATTTCTTGCTGCCTGTCAATCTCCTTTTGTCTCTCTATTTCCTGCAAGCGTTCTATCTCCCTTTGTTTTTCTATTTCTATTTGCCGTTCAGCTTCCTTTTGTTTTTCTATTTCCTTCTGTTTCTCTATCTCTTTCTGTCTTTCAATCTCCTTCTGTTTTTCTGCTTCCTTTTGCCTTTCTAATTCTCGCTGTTTCGCCATTTCGTTTTGCCTTTCAATCTCTTTCTGCCTCTCTATTTCTTTCTGACGTTCGATTTCCCTCTGCTTTTCTATCTCTTTCTGCCTCTCTATTTCTTTTTGGCGTTCTATTTCCCGCTGCTTTTCTAGCTCTTTTTGCCGTTCTATCTCTTTCTGTTTTTCTA